AAAGCAGAGTTTCCTACAGCTGCCTCTGCAAGCTCAACATGTCTGAAAGGACAGCTCTGGGGGAGAAATAATCCTCTCTGTCATAGAAACTGAGGAAGGAAACAACAGAGGATGAGGCACAAAGATGGAAAAGAACAAAGGGAAGTAAAAGGAGTCCTTCACTGGAATATTCATTGCTGGCAACCACAGCCAGGTGGTTACAAAGAGAATTCGGGTCAACATATCCGTGAAAGATTTGCTTTGGTAGAATCTAGGAATGTTCGGTGTCCAGCCCAGCATGACAGCAGAAGGGGCACCAAGAGATCAGTACATGGTAAAGTAATGGCGATGCCCAGCAGGAAGAATGCCAAGGGGGTCTCACCATGAGGTGCACAGTGGGAAAGCACCACCCCGTTCAATTCCACATGGAGACTGGGACCAGAAGCAAGGGAATTCCAAAGCAAGCTTTAGGAACAAATCCTCTTATGCTGCAGAAGAGCAACATGCAGAGAGAGAATATGGACTGACGAGAGCAAGGTCTGGACAAACATTTGGCCGAACACTCTTTAAAAAGGGAATTATCTCTGCAGCATTGGACAACTGGGACACACTAGACATGATTTAGCCTTAAAATACCATTACCAGGTAACTTGATTTACCGGAAAGATGAAGACAAACTCTATTCTGGACAATTCAAGGAAAAATATGATGAAGAAAATCATCATGAGCAAGTAGCTATTAACAGGCAAAGTACAGAGATTGATTACCCTCAAGCACGAAGGGTTCTGGAGAGCTCAGCCCTCAGCATACTGTGCTGTCCTGGCCCTGCACTGGCAATGGGAAGGACAACCCAAATCCTCCCATGAATCCATGAGAGTGCTGCCCTGGAGGACCATCCCTTGCTGCCCAAACCTCCCCTCTGAGGGGAGCACAGTCTCCAGCTGTTCTGACAGAACCATGGCACTCATCAGAATCGCCATCTCTTGCCTGCTGTGCTGGCAGGACCCCATGTTTGTCACCACCCTGTGTTTGTCATCAGCGAGAAGTCCAAGCTAAGGACCAGCCGCAACATGCCAAGGGGCCAGATGCAGGATGCACAGGGAAAGGCTTTAGTGGCTGACACGATCAAACTGTAGGAGTGAAAAAGCCAACTTATGGTTATGACTATTTTTCACTGAAAATTAGCTGAGCCTGTCCTTCAGGAAGCTGTGACTTCATATTCACAGATATAGCTGCTCAGGGGGATTCCAGTCCAGTCCAGTACCCACAGGCAGCAGGTCAGGCTGTGGACTTAGGGGTACAGAGGTAGTGGAGGTGCCCATCCAGCTGCACCCCTGCCCCTCCAAAAGCCACAAAATCCCCTAAGAGCTGGTACTCCACCCCCCAAAGCCCATCAGACCGACCCACCACAGCCCCCAGCCAGCTCCACTCTCTGAGCCCCCCAGAACTGACCCCTCAGCCAGCTTCACTCCCTAAACACCACCAGACTGACCCCCTGGCCAGCTCACCCACCCCAAAGAAGGGGGAAGGGAGCCTAACACCCAACCTATGATAAAACAGCTCAGCTTATCTTCAGACTGTTTTATATAAATAAATAAACATATATATATATACTTTTTTTTCTGGGCTTATTTTATATATTTCTAGCAGGTATCAATGTCTGTTTAATTCAAACATACTGCCCCATGGGACTCATTAGCAGTTTAACAAACTGCATGGGTATAAACACATGGCAGATAAAAAGACAGAATTTTAAAATATTGTATGTATGCCTACAAAAAGAGTCTGGGTGAATGATGAAGGGTGTCAGGGAAGTGCTCGACCACATCAAACAATGAAAACATTCCTGAGATGGGCTGTTTAAATATTAAATAAATACTCAGAACTTCTGTAAATGTCGAACAGAAAAAAGATGGAATGCTATTTTTCCTAATCTGTTCCCACTGTAATTATGGACTCTATACTCTAGCTAAAAAGATCATTTATCTTGTGCTGAGCATTTCAATTGCTTTATCTCCAATAAATTGCAGATATTACCTTCGATGGATAACTAAGCCCGGCGCAGGAGCTCCAGGCACAGCTGATGTGCCTGGAAAATACTTAACATTTGTCTTATTTTTTTATAAAATGTTTTATCTCTATTTTTGTGAAAGCTTTTTTACCAAATTATGTATTGCTAAAAAAATTAATTTATTCCATTCAGAAAGACTAATTTTAGGGGAAGGGGGGGGAGACTGTTTACAGGCAAATATTCTGAGCTGTATTCCCTTTTTTTACAATACCACCTGTATAACCATATATATACAAATATCTAGTACTATACTAATAACAACACATATAAGTTATCTTTCCCTGAGCTGACCTGGGGCCTGGAGGAGGGTTCCTGTCTCCTTGCCACCAGCACGCAGTGGCACAGATACACAGATAATTTATGCAAAATACACCCAAAGCTTGTGTGAGAACCAGAAAACTAATTAAGTAGAGACGGCGCTAATGAGGGTTGGCAGCCAGGAACAATGGCTGTGCCAGGCGTGGGGACAGAGGGGAGGGGAGAACACATCCGTGGGAATGGAGCAGGTCTGGGCACTGCCAATCCTGGGCACAGAATTCCAGAATCATTTAGGTTGAAAAAGTTCCCCAGGACTGTTGAGTCCTACCTTTGACCCATCACCACTTGTCAGCTAGACCAAAGTACGTCCAGTTATTCTTTGAACGCCTCTAGGAATGTGGACTCCACCACCCCCCTGGGCAGCCCTGTCCAATGCTTGACAACTCCTTCCATGAAGAAATTCTTCCTGCACGATGCAGCCCAGAACAACACCTATTCATATTTTGCAACCTAAACGATGTAGGCATGTCCTCCCACTCTTATTAAGCATTTAAAATCCAGTTCTAAGAAAAAGGACCAGTAAGGGTACAGATTTGCAGTACTTATCAACGCATTTGATTCATCCTGAAATACCACATATTTACTGTTCTGTGTGGGATTATGGAAAATCTGAGCTAAACCGGAGACTACGCTATAGTAATTGTTTTTTGTTGCTGTTTTAGCCAGGCAAAGCTGAGCAGCAGGTCTGGTGTTACAGGTCCATCACTGCTGAGAACAAGTGGTTTCTCATTGCTCCTCTGTGAGAGCTCAGTTCAGATTACAAAAGTGACATCAAATCTCAGGACTTCCATAAATATTCAGAGCCTGAGCATGCTCCATCTGAGGCGCCAGGACTCAGGCTCTCCACTGGCAGCACAGGTCACTACTGCTCATACCCCAGGTGTGGGAAACCTCTTTCTGGAAGAGACACACAATTTGATGGGATTTGGTGGAATAACTGCGCTCAGAAACAAATGCCTGTGCTTGTTTTATTACTGCATTACTCTAGTAAAGCAGGGAGTGAAGGGATACCTGCTTAGGGATAAATCTAGCTTGGATTGTGTCCTGTGTGATCACAACAGTGAGGTGCCAGTGCTGTGGGGGCTGTGTTGGGAGCAGCACTGACAGTGGGTGGAGAGGGGGCCCCTGGGGGTGCTGGGTCCAGCTCCCCAGTAAAGAGAGAGAGGGACATACTGCACAACCCAGCGAGGGGCCCCGAAGATGAAGGGACTGGAGCACCTCTGCTCTGAAGAGAGGCTGGGAGAGCCAGGACTGCTGTGCTGGAGCAGAGCAGGCTCAGGGGATCTCACCGATGTGTACAGGTACCGTCAGGAGAGAGCCAAGGAGACGAAGCCAAGCTCTTCCAGTGGTGCCCAGGGCCAGGACCAGAGGCCACAAGCACACACTGGCACGCAGGAGGGTTCCCTTCAACACCAGGAGACACTTTTTCACTGTGAGGTGACCGAGTACCACAGGGAGGTGGTGGAGTCTCCACCCTCAGAGATACTCAAAACCCACCTGGACATGGCTCTGGGTGGCCCTACCTGAGCAGGGGACTGGTCTGGATGACCTCCAGCAGTCCCCTCCAACCTCAATCAGTCTGTGCCTCTGTGACAATCTCCTACATGTAGTCTGTTTTTATCAGACTTCCCCAGAATTCTCAGAAGGGTTCTTTCCTCTGTTTACAGAGTTCTTTTTTCTTAGAAAGGATTGTTCTGCCTGGTGCACTCCCTGGTTTCAGCTGAGTGGTGCTCCCCCTTGGTGTCCTGTTCCGGTTTGACAGTATGGCACAGGGAGTTTTTCCTATCACAGACTGGAGCTGTGCTTTGATTGTTAATTCCTTTATCCTCATCTCTGACATAACATCTTCACATTCAGGTGAAGGAATTCTGCTGTAACCACTGCCTCTGTGACTATTGCACAGGATAACAGAAGTAGGCCGTGCTCAGAATAGTAATGAAGGGAGTTAAATCTTTTGTTGCAGCTATAACTAAGTGAACCACCACGTGCAAACATTTAACATTACTGAAATATCTACTCTGAAATTTTAGAAAATTTAAGAAATCCCTACTTAAACTCTTCACAGCTTATTTAACATATCTCAGATGCTGTCAGCAATGAAAACTCAGTGCAAAAGAGCACAGGTCTGGTTTCAACAGAACAGATCATGGTCCTTATTGGACTGAGTCAAGAGCGCAAGTAAGGATAAAACAGATCTTTGTGGTGTGCATTGCTCTGATTAGGGCTATTATCACCTGCATCACAGCAAAGTCTCACACCGAGAAAGCACAGTAAAGCTTTCAACTTTTTTTTTCTTAATCTTCTCTGTCAGCAGTTTACAATCACGAAAAATTACGGATTTGTTGTAACTTTTTTCTAACTTCATAAACTCTTTTTTTTTCTCCTCCAGTAGCTCCTATAGTGCTTTTACAGCTACTTTTTATTGTAAGATTTGTGTATAATGAGATCTTATCAAGGCAAACCCTCCTTTCATTCCCATCTCTTTGTATTTGGTATCTGTAATCCCAGCAAACTCTGAATTCAGATGGAATCCGCAGATGAAAAACCACAATATCCAGGGCAAGGAACCGCAGCCGGAAAAACCATCAGCTGTGAGGCTCCTACCAGCTGCTAACAGATAAAACACGCGGTGATGCCTGCGAGGAGTCCGGGTGAGGTCCGTTTACCAAATCGCAGCCCTGCTCCGCGCTCACCAGCGCGCCCCGGGTGCTCCAGGTGCGGCCGAGGAGGCACCAACCAGCGGCTGCGGGCAGGGCAGAGTTAAGCGGGCGAGTTCGTGCGCGATTAGGATTCTGTTCCTAACTAGATTACCAACCCAGGCATCCACCTCCTCCTGCTCCTCGAGAGCGCTCGGAGCGCTCCCGGGGCCGCAGCGCCACAACCCTCGCCCGGAGCGCGGCAGAGCCGCCTCTCCCCGCCCGGCCGGGCGGGCCCGAGGGCTCCGCGCCGCCCCCGCCCCGCCGGCGCATCCGGGTCGCGTTGCGGCGGCGGCAGCGCTGGTTCCCGGCCCGGCCGTGCGGACGATGGGCGGGCGCAGCGCGGCGCGGCGGGAGGACACGGG